CCCGCGCTAGAAAAAATCAGTCCGGGAACTTTCCGGACAAACTGTGTATATACATGTAACGAACTATACTTATAAATTTTTACAAGTATTTTTTGAATTGAAAATCTCAATTCTTAAAATGGTGGTCTATAAAATCAATTGTTCTTTCTGTGACGCCTCCTACGTAGGCCAAACGAGCAGACAATTGTACACAAGACTTACAGAACATCAACGGAATTTCTATCAAAATTATGATCGACAATCTGCAGTCAATAAACATCGGAGTGATTTAGGGCACGATTTTGTCTGGAATGATGTTCAGATACTGGACAAAGAACAATTTTATAATAGGAGAAACTTATTTCTGAAATGTTGCACATTAAGTTGCAGAGGAATGGTATTAATTTAATGAAGGATACGGATTTGCTGGATCCGATATATACCCCGTTAATTCAGAAACTAAAATAATCTTGTCTTATACACTCTCTCCTCCCTCTCTGGCTTGTCTTCTTTCCCTTAACTGCCTCTTCTTTATCTCGCATTTGCGTTTTATCTTTCTTGCGAGATGGTTGTGTTTTGTTCGTTGCCGCGTGTGAACTGTGTGAGAGAACTCATTGACTTTGTGTTTAATTGACCAATTTTGCAGTAAGTTTTATTGTTTTTTGACCATTCTATTATTGACTTCACTTTTTTGATTAACGACTTTTGTAATATTTTGACTCACGATTAATGACTTTTCACAAATTTGTTTCTTTTAATCTTCTTTAATCTTTATATATCTCCTCTCTTTTTTTGTTTTTTTGTTTGTTCTTATTATTATTACATTTTTATTCCTCGAGAGTTGTTTGANGTTCCGTCCCTAAAATTATTTATTCTTTCAAAGCAAAACCGATGCACAAGCAAATCGATCAACAACGATATGTTGTTTGTGCTTACTCGGCGTGACTTCTCTCACATGTTGACAACCGATGGCGTTCTAGATGTTTCCGTTATGAGGTATGTATTCGATTTTCTGTATATTTAGTGCCTACAACTTTGTTTTATACTCATACTGTAATTCTTAACCCTTTATTTTAAATTATGTTCCATCAATTTTACATCCTGTAATTTTTTATTATTTTTTCTTTATTTATTTTTTGTTTTTTCATATTTTTTAAAAATTTTTATATTTTTAAATATATTTTTATATATTTTTCTATTCAGTGTGGCTGATGATGATCAAAACTAATAAATGATCGAAACGTTCCACTATATTACTGCGTTATCATTCTAACTGCCTCGAACTGTAGTCTGGAAGGCTGTAAAGGTCTATTTTGATTATTTTGAATTTTAATACGGCCTTGTTCAAATTAAAAAAAAAAATGGGTATACTTCCAAATGATACTCCCTGCTCCCAATCGATCTGAAATTTTGCACAAAAATAGTGTTTGATGGGACAAACAAAACGCGCGTAGTCTCCACTTCGGCAAATAAAAAACAAATTTTTAAAAAAATAAAAACGATATTGACTAAAATCGATTTTAGATGTATTTCAGAATGACTTCTTTTTTCGATCAATCTGAAAGTTTGCACAAATATAGTGTTTGATAGAACAAACAAAACGACCGTAGTCCCAACTTCGAGAAATAAAAAACAAATTTAAAAAAAAATAAAACTTATATATAGTTTTTATATTTAATAAAAATATGTTTTTTATTTCTCGAAGTTGGGACTATGCTCGTTTGTCCCATCAAACACTATTTTTGTGCAAAATTTCAGATTGATTGGGACAAGAAATCATTCTGAAATACACCTAAAATCGATTTCAGTGGATATAGTTATTATTTTTTTTTAAATTTGTTTTTTATTTGTCGAAGTGGAGACTACGCGCGTTTTGTTTGTCCCNTCGAACACTATTTTTGTGCAAAATTTCAGATTGATTGGGAGCAGGGGTCATTCGGAAGTATATCCAAAAAAATTAGTGTGCGCGAAAAATTCAGTTTTATCGATAAAACAGACT